TCATGTGTTTATCCATTTTTTGCAGCAATTCCACTTTTTGTTTGACAGACATCGAGACATACTTTCGTTTTGTAGATTCTTTGGGAGCTCCAGAATCGGAAATTGACATAATCGAAAGTTCAAGTTTACTTTTATAAAATTGCTCTTACAGTCTGCAAAAAATAATAAGCTGCATCCAATTCGAAGATTAAGGAATAACGCAAGCATCAACATTAACTGAAATAGATAATTGTATAATTTTAGCATATACCGTCCGTTATACGTTAAACGCGCACGCGAAAACGTATTCTGCACGTGCGCGCACGCGTAAACGCCAATGCGCATGTGTCAACGCGGCGCATGCGCAGAAAGTTTTTAACTTTGAGGTCCGGATTATGGGTGTCCGAATTAACGACTTTTGACTGTATACACTAATGAATAGAAAACCACCATTTAAACTCATCTCTGATATTATAATGCTGGTAAAACTCAGACTGGAGAAGACTAATTCTTCAATGTCAAAATATTCTACTTGCATTTATCAAAGCTTTTTGTACTTCATCCATTTAATGTATTGTGTACCATAGCTTATCGTTCAAGTAAATAGTGCTTCAATGAGCCTGTTCTGACAGAAAGTTTTCTATTCCCTGGTTCCTGTATCCTAAAGACACTGTTCTCATAGTTCTTTCTCTGCACTGGACAAGGAGCAGATTTCCCTTATCTTGAGGTTAACAAAAACAAGACTCTAGAAGTACTGTAAATGAGTGAGGGTTCTTTCTCAAATACTAACTCACAGTAGATGGAAGTACAATTTTTGCATCCCATCTTTTAAGAATTTTCATTCACTGAGGGTTATGAAAAAAAATTCATGAAATGCCTTTTAGCATTACCATACATTAACAGTCTCTGAATGGAAAAGAAGTGATAATTGCAAGCTAAAGAAAAAAAACAATGAAAGCATTGCTTATGCTTGTGACCATGAAGTGGCAGATTGAGTGAATGGAGAAAAGGCAATCTTTCAGTCAGCTAGAAATTTAATTTTTATTTTAATGTCACTAGAAGAAGTATTTTTAAAATGTATTATGTTCTTAACCTATATAACATGTCGAAAATGTCCATGCAGACAGATCGTTCGCCTTTTGCTAAGTTCCTTTTCATGGACAACAATGCACCACGTCATCGCACAGTAGATGCCGAACAGCTCTTAGAGAGTGAGGATATTGAACGTATGGATTGGCCGGCACGATCTCTGGATCTCAATCCCATCGAGCATGTATGGGATTTTCTAGGCAGACGCTTGGCAGCTCGTACCTTACCACCAATAACGATTCCGGAGCTTTGATTGGCGCTGCAAGACGAATGAGCAGCAATGCCTCAACAACTCATTGACACCCTCATTTTCAGCATGGGCAGACGCTGTGAAACCTGCCTAGCAGTCAGGGAAGATCATATCTCCTATTAAAGACCGGATGTTTCTTGCTGGACACTCATCACAGGGATGTTTCGGCCTTCAGTCGCATTGCGCTCCATGCTACTTTATGCTACTTTTTCAATAAAGCTTCTTTTTATCCCTCTGATTTCTCTTTTAGTAAGTGTTGCTTACATTACTCATGTCCTTACACATTGGGGATCTTACGGTATTAAATTTGCGTTGATTTGGAAAGCTTTTGTACAAAGTTATATTGAAAAAAACGTCTCGTCCTTAAATTTTGCACACCAGTGTATATGCAATGTCTAATGTTTGCAGTATGAAGAAGCCAAGTTTGTGCAATTCTTCAAAACAGATCGCTGCATACATGCAAAGAAAGCAAGAATGCATGTAACACACATACAAGGAAGAAAACTTTGTAAAGCAAACTTTTGATTTTAATTTCCCTTTTTATTCTTCATTTTAATATGAGTATTCCTCTTTTCTGTCCTAAAAATAGTAACTACTCAAAATATACCAACCTAACCTGCATTATTTCAAATTAATTGATATCATACAACCTTAACACAATGTTGTAAAGCAGATACATTTTAACCAATCAGCGAATAAGATTTTAACTGAAATCAAAACATTTTTAACCTTCTGAACTCTTCCAGGCTTTTATCTGAACATGTTGCACTATTTTGCTTACTTTAGTTGCCTCCAATAAAATAAAAATAATTTACGATGAAGGAGGGAAGACAATTTTAATCCTGGCCAATGGCTGTAGATAGTGCTGGCATACAGAATGCATATTATGCAGTAGGAGTATAGGATTTGCAGACAAACACTGTTGTAAATTCAACAAATTTTACTTCTGGACAAGACAATTCAAGATGTATATTCTGATTCACAAATTATTATGAGTGCAATCTTCACCCCACATTTTTTTTAAGTTTATGACTTAAGACAGTGGATGATACAGAGAAGTGAGCTGCTATGTATTAGCTGTCACTTCATTAGTCAGTACAGCAAGCCAAGAAAATGTGACAAATACATGTGGAAGCCTGGAACAACGTCAAAAAGTTTTGATTTCAATCGAAATCTTATTCGCTGATTGGCTAACAAAAGAGTAATTATTATGCAGTAGGAGTATATGATATCTGAACTGCAACATTAAGCAAGATCGTATGATACTAATTAATTGTAAATGACACAGTTTAGATTGAAACACTATAGTTACTATTTTTAGAACTGTAAAAGAAAGTACTCAAACTGAAATACAAAATAAGAAAGGCTTTTACCAATTAAAATTGGAAGTTTGTTTTACATTGTTTTATCTCACACACATATATATTTGAATCACAGTTGCCATTCAAACAAAAGAATGAAATTCCCTGAGTTTTCCAGGTGTGTTTCAAGAAAATTCCAGGCTATCTGCATAGTGCATGTTGGCTGTGATAAGGATAAATTAATTATGATAGCACTCGAAAACACAAAAATTTTCAAATTACATATGACTGTATAACATATATATATCCCCAAAGCATCACTTTTACAAATATAAAATTCTAAATAACAGATTAAAAATATAATAGTTTTTTTTTACTGAGGACCGAGATTAGAATCTGCCCAACTGGGATTAAAAAATGTCTTTTCTGCTGACATTTTGCAGCTAAAGGAAGAAAGCAATCTATTTAATGATATTTTAAAATAGATTCAAGTATTTGATATTTATTTAACAGCATACATAAGTAAAAAAATATGTGCACTAAATTTTGTGATGGTATGTCATCATACTGCTAGAATTAAGTTCTACAAGTATGCCAGAGAAAATTGCCCGAAATTTGAAAGTATTATTAACTAATAATAAATAAATAAAGAATGAAGAGGACACATTAAATGATACAAATAAGATTAAAATAGATAAAAAGATAATTACTTAAGGATTAGGAATTGAATTGCAAAAAATCGACAGTATTTTGGGCATATATAGATATATTAAGTGGTTAGCCTAGATAATCGATTACCATTTTTTTTATTTTACTGCAAAATGACAAATAAGGCATTTTAGAAAAGGTTTAAACAATTTTGTTTTACTCGAGAATGGAGGAATTTACTTTCATTCAACATGCACTGCACATGCGCATGCGATTTTCTGCTTTTCTCGAAACCAAAAGATGCTGGAAACCTGATTTGCCTTTCTAAAAGACAATCTGACTGCCGCTAGTAAGTTTCTAGATCCAAAAAATATCGCTACTGATAGTGAAGAAAGTGACAGAGAGTTTACTGAAAACAAAAATGTTTTGATTGACAAGTTAGTTGGAATTCTTAACACAGCAATTACAGGACTTGAGCAATGTAACTAAACAAGAAATTATGTTTGTCTGCAGAAATAAAGAGAAAGTATTAGCACAAAAAATGAAGCAATTTAAACAACTTACATTGACAGACATGTTTCATAAAGTAAACAAATAAATATTAAGTTTTTTTTTTGTAAATTTTGATACCCTTTTTTTTTGTAATTTTGAGGCATTTATGATTTTGATCATAAATCACGATTTCATATTTTTAATTTTATAATTTCTACATGATATCTTACTAGATTTAAACTGATGATCTAATATCCGGAAAAATCTCAAATCCGGATTTTGGACTTTGTATTGTAATTACTTTAAATTTTCAAGTTAAAATTAACTTCACCTTTAAATGTATTTTTGCCTATAATTAATACCTTTTTTATCACCATCTAAATATTTTATTTTGCAAAGTGAAACTTGAAAGTGTGACTGATAATATTATGTTAAGAATAAATCAAAGTTAAAAAACATGGAAATAAAAACAGTAGATATTATAAAAATAAAATAATTTGATCTTGCACATAAATATTGTTAAAAAGTTGTAAAAAATTTATATTATACTTCCTTATTACATATTAAAGTATTCTATTCAGAATAGTTCAGGTTTTCGTAAATATGTACCAATTAAATTTTAAATAGGAAAGGAATGTGAATAAAACTTGTCAGACCAACTTACTGACAAACTGTAAATTCTATATGTTTTCATGAAGAAACAGTAAAAGGCAAACGGGATTTTGAATAAACAGTTTTGCACTTTTAAAATAATCTATGGGAATACATTTTATTTTGTTATGAATAGTAATTAATTAAAATTTTGATCATTTTTAGTAAATTAATATCAATCTAATACTGAATTCAGCTAAATTTTAAATCTGAATATCCTTTAAATGTACAAAATATCATTTCATATTTTTTAAAAAATAAGCTTACAGAAATTAAAATTTGTCATGCCTTGTCATGTCATATCTTGAAAATACAGTTCTGTTTCATTTAAAAAACATTAAACAATAAAAAATGCCTAAATTATATTGCTACCTTAGGACTGTATAACATATTTACTTCCTTCATTCTTAAAGCAGGTCAAATTTCTCATTTATCAGATTGCATAATATAGTGACACCTCTTACCTCTATTATTATTGACAGGAAAATTACAGCTCCATCAAATTCTTCAAAGAAATAGTGAGGTTTTTTTTTATCATATAGAAAAAAATTGCCAGAAAAATACAACCTCTCTCTGACATTAAGTCTCACCATCAAGTGGTACTCCATCATATTGCTTCAGTGCACGGATTGCATCCATGCGTCGTTCAAAAACGACATCCGCTGTGCCTAGAGACCGACCAGACTGGTCATAATGCACAACTGCTTTTCGTAGAGCACCAAAGTCACCAAATAATTCCTAAAATAAAGAAAATAGTCTAAGCACATTTTACATGTTGATGGCTAACAGATATGTTTGAACAAAACTGCATCTACAAAATTTTAAAAGAGCTTTTTAAGTAATTCTAGCCAAGCGGATAACTACCTATACTGATTACTACTTTCACATCTAATCTTGCTTTCTTTTAAATGTTCTATTTATAGAGAGAAGTTTAATTATGCTTTCTGTCTTATGTATTTAACCTACAGCATATGTTCTCACAGATTCAAAGATTGAAAAAAAAAAAAAAAAAAAGAGTAAATTTTGTTGAAAATGGCACATTGTGAAATTGTCAATGAAAGTCAATGCTTTATTTATTAAAGATCCAGACAAAAATACCAAACTTCTGCATAGGCAGGAGAAAATTTACCACAATCATGGAAACTAGTTGTCTATAAATTGGAAACAAAATGATTTTGTGATGGTTAGGAATAAAAAAAAAATGTGACAAATCGAAGATATGGCAAGTACTACTAAATTTGGTACGAGGGTAAGTTGAAAAATGAGTTCCCCTGTCGACTGTGGTCAGAGTTGGTATGAAAGTCAAAAAATAGAATGAGACATTAAAGATATGACATACCTTTATTTTTCCACATAGATACACCAAGTACATTGAGACATTTGTCATATCGCTTGATAAGCTTCAAAAAGCCCTCCATGAAAAAATCAGGGCTTTGCATATAGAAGAAGCGTTCAACGGCTTGTTTCACTTCAATATTGCTTCCAAAGCACCTTTGCCTGAGATTTTTCTTTAAAGCCGGAAACAGATGGAAGTCGCTTGGTGCTAGATCAGGACTGTATGGCGGATGGTGTAGGCGCTCCCAACCAAGAGTTGCAATATGGTTTTGCGTTGCCGTCGCCGAATGTGTTCTGGCATTGTCATCCAACAGCAGAATGCCAGATGTGAGAAGACCAGGCCGTTTTTTCTGAATTGCCTCTTTCAATTTCGACAGGGTGTCACAGTAGCGCGTAGCATTGATGTTTCCAACTTCCAAAAAATCCAGCAACAAAACTCCTTGGGCGTCCCAGAAAACGGTGAGGAGCACTTTACCTGCAGAGGGAGTTGTCTTGAACTTCTTTCGGACAGGTGATGATGGATGTTTCCACTCCATAGATGCGGCCTTCGATTCTGGCGTGAAATGGTGGACCCACGTTTCATCCCCCGTCACAATCCGAAACAGAAAGTCATTGCCATCTTCATGGTAACACACGAGATGTTCCAGTCTGACCCCCATGCGTTGTTCCTTGTGTGTCAAGGTCAATTGTCGGGGCACCCATCGTGCTGACACTTTTCTGTATCGAAGAATGTCGTGGGTGATGTTTTGAGCTCGCTCATGTGAGATTCCAAGTTCTCCCGCTACTTCATTGATGGTGATACGCCGGTTCGCTCTAATCATGTCATCCACCTTCCTGACATTTGCATCTGTAGTGGCCGTGCACGTCTGTCCAGCTCTCGGTATGTCCTCCACTTGCTGACGTCCATCACTGAATGAGCGACACCATTTGCTTCGACATCACACCTGGCCCATAGACTTCCATGAGGCGGTTATGAATTTCTGTTCCTGATACTCCACGTGCCCATTCATAGCGGATAACCCGCTCTCACTTCCTCCTTTGACCACGAATTCAAAATGCACCTTCTCTCCATACCTACTGGGGCTCAAATGAGAGGCTGGTCTCCGCTTTGCACAGGCACTGCAACAGCGCCATCTGCTTGATTTGCAGCGACCTCTACCCAATGGTGTATCGGTAACTTGCGCATTTTCCTGCTGTGTCGCCTTTCGCCCATAGCCGTTCAACGCTTCTTCCATATGCAAAGCGTGAATTTTTCTTGGAGGACGTTTTGAAGCTTATCAAGCGATATGACAAATGTCTCAACGTACTCGTACGAGAATAATAAAATAAAGGTATATCATATCTTTAATGTCTCATTCTATTTTTTGACTTTCATACACAACTCTGACCACAGTCGACAGGGGAAACTTATTTTTCAACTTACCCTCGTAATTTTTATTAATGTCTTATTTCTCTTGCTACGCCTACTTTTGTTATGGTTAATATTAGACATCCTTGGTTTCAGTAGGTTTTTAGCCTTGAAACCCTCTTCTAAAAATGTAAAACATGAAATAAAACATATACAGGAAAAAAGGAAAGCTGAAATATTTCAGATTTTAATGGTTGCTGAAAAGGCTTTGTTAAGGTTTTTGACATTCTCACTGAGCTTGCAATCTGCTGTAACACTCACTCCTGCTAAACCTTTTTTTTCTCTTTTTAGCTTTATAATAAAGTATCGTTCCATTCGCACTTACACTACATACAATTAAACAGCACAAGCACAAAAATTTTAAAAACAGCACAGCAGCATAAGTTTAAAATTCCTGATGCAGTTTTAAGTGTTGGAATACACTTTTTTTTTTCAGTCCTTTCTTGGTTCATCATATCAATGTTCAGTTTTCTTAGATGGCTAAGAAAACTTTTTTTTGTCTTTTTACTATTTAATTTTTGTATGTTAATTTTATTTATTAAATATTAAGTTCTTCACACTTACACCACATAAAATTCAAGAGCAGAATCACGAAATATTAAAAAACGGTGTACTTTTAGAATCTCCGATAGAATGTCTCACATGGAGATAAAAATGTTTTATTTCGAACAGTGTTCCCGACACTCACTTTGAAATCATTGACTTTGTTAATCAAAAATTCATTAAAGTTTTACAAAATATCACATAGGTAAAACAAATTCAAAAATGAAATCTGGCTTCCAAATGCCCATGTTCGAGTGGAGGACTACGTTATTCAAAATTTGATGACTCTAAGTACTGTTGTTTTCTCCCAATGTGGCAAATATACACACAGTCATGCACATTCTTCATTATTTAATTTCTTTAAATATAATACAGGACAATAATATTTGGTGGACACATTTGAAAAGTGATACAATGTATTTAAACATTTTGGTTCAAAATAGAAACTTATCAATTTGTTGCAAAACCTGACTGCAAAAGAATATACAGTCAAAAGTCGTTAATCCGGACTCGTCGGGACTTCGGCGATTCCGGATTATCGATTTTTCCGGATTATAATAGTTTCAATAGGGATCATCAGTTTAAATATGGTAAGATGGCATGCAGAAACTACAAAATTAGAAATATGAAACCGTAATTTATGAAATAAAGAACAATTATGATCTAAAGGGTATCAAAATTTAAAAAAAGAAAAAGCTTAATATTTATTTGTTTACTTTATTAAACATTTTTTTCAATGTAAGTTGTTTAAGTTACTTCGTTTCATGTGATAATACTTTCTCTTTAATTCCAATAAACAGACATAATTTCTTTAGTTAAAGTTCCGCTGTTCAAGTCCTATAATTGCTGTGTCGAGAATACCGACTAATTTGTCAACTGAAATTTTTTCGTTTTCAATAACCTTTGTTTCACTTTCTTCACTATCGGACGCGAATTTTAATGACGAAGAACTTGATTTAAATCATATCAAAGACGGAGTACATCGAGATGAAACACTACATTTAGTAAGGAATTATAAGCCAAATAAAATAAAAACATTTGACCTGAAGATAAGGACAGTGCTGACAGATCAACTTCCAATTCATTGTGCGCCACGACGTGAACTGCATTATCCAAACTTGTCCCAGAACTCTAACAGGATTCTGGAAAGCTGTTCGGGAGGAATGGGATAGGACATCTCTTCTGCCATATCAAAAGACATTATTATCCTCAAAGTCGCGGTGTCGAAAGATAGTTCAGAATAAGGGATGTCAAATAGAACATTTAAAACACAAGAATTTTATGTAATTTAGTTTTGTGAATACAATATACATCGTCTAAAAAATGTGTGAACAGCCTCTGTATTTTTTTAATCTTCTAGAATCGTGTGTCTAATTATCTTGCCTTCAAATCCTACTAAACTTTCCAAGCTGCAATGTCTAAAATCCTAAAGAAAAATTATCCCTACCAATTCTGTAACAGCAAAAAGCCAGAAATATTTGAAGGGGGTGGGATAGGAAAAAAGGGTAAAACTAATTTTATAGAGAAAACTGATGCATATTCTGAGAATTTTGAACATTCTGAGACAATTACATTAGAAAAGCACTTACTATGAAAAAATTAAAAAGAAAACATTTTTAGTTAATTACATAGCTAATTTTGCTTTTGCCAATAGCTGTTTCATAAATTGTGCTTTATAGCATCATACCTTGTTTATTTTCAGATTCAAAATATTGTATAATAAGTTGCCAAAATAAAACTTTATAATATGACAGAGAAAAATAAAAATGTTTCATTTTAAATATAATTTCAATATATTACCATTATTTTAATGAAATTTATCAATGTTACGATGTTTTAAAAAAATCGTCAAAAAATTCTCAGATCTCGGAATTAAAAATTTTCTATAGAAACTGATCTTAAAATCGCCCAAATCTTGATAAGTCGCCAAATTTAGAACCATTTAATAAAAGAATTTACATCCCCAAAAGTGAAAAGTTGTTTTTAAGAACTCTTTATTAGAAAAAATGAATTTCGAAATTCTTATGTTTCAGTTCTTGCTTAGAAACTCAAGTATCCCATTATTTATATTAGAAATAGAAACAAACCCATTCAATAGATAACCATATATGTCAGTGAATCGCTAAGAATCTTCCTCCAAAATGCTAATTCACACTCAAAATGGCAGTCGTAAAAACAGACAGAAATTTCAGATGATTAAAATTAAGGACCTTCTGCTGATTTTGGCCAAAATTAAGGACTTTTAAGAACCAAAAATCGATTCCAAAAAAACTCTAAGGTCTTTTAAGGACCGTACGAACCCTGTGAGGTCCGGATTATAGATCATTCCGGATTATGGGTGTCCGAATTAACGGCTTTTGACTGTACAAAATTAACTTTTAAATAAATAAATACAGATATGTTATTTTCGTATTTATAAAACAGATGTGAATTAATGTGAAATTTACCAGTATTAGCAATTAAATGTGAAACATTATGCATACAAATGTAAAAGCTATATTTTCAGAAAAACTTGAGAAAAGTAGGTATTTAAAGATAATTTGTTTGATTCATGTCACATTTGCCATCCAACAACTTGCTTCACATCGTTTAGAGTTTCTGTCTCCCTTTCAAATATACCTATCACCCACCTCCTACCTGTACAAACCTACTCACTTGTCCAATCCCAGTCACCTCATTCAGCCAGTTCATCCATGGCAGCAACTATGAAATAAGCAGCATGTATTTCTTTTATTTTGCTTTCTAAATACATAGTTGAATTAAATGATCATAAATTTGTCCAAAAACAGATTCCTTACATAGGAATTAATTGAGAGAATAAAGGGATTTGCACCAAAGCCCTTTTTACTTGAGTAACACACATATCAATATACATAAATATTCACTTGCATCTTGTCCATAACATGATTTAAACCTCCCCCTTTCCCTGTCAAAGTAATGGTATTTTGGAAAATAGTAATGGCATTTTGATAAATGAGTAGGTGAAGTTGGTCAAAAGCACAAAATAATATTGATGACAGCAGCACAGAAAAGATGAAATAAATGTATACAAGCTATTCAATGCATTAAATGAATACCATATATTATATTTACAATTATTTTCCCTATCAGTTGCCACCAAAAATTTTATGTCGACTTTGAAATAAACTTGTTATTGAAAAGCTTCGCTAAAATATCATTCTTTACAGACATTCTAAAAAGCAAGTTCGTTGATGGATACAGTACAATCACAAACAACTTAAATGATCAATCAAGACACTTAGGTTGATGTCACACAAAAATCACAAAAGCTACATTAGCTGTCAAAACTGCAAAATTTGTACTGAAATCTGTTTTCAACTTTTTTAATGGCATTAACAGCAAAGATAAATAAATCTTCAATATATATAGAATAAAACAGATTACTTGTTGCTTGTGAATATTCAACCAACAATCTTGGTTTGGTTTATGTGATTACAGCAAAGCCTCGAGGGCTATCTGCTTGAGGGGGTGATGCTTTCGTGGAGGACTTTTTAACAATCAAGCATCCAGCAACATACATACTGCTTGATTAATAAAACATTATTATACTTCTTTATTTGTTCTTCATAAGCATCATTTGATAATTTACCACTTAAGTCACTTTTAGATGGAAGCTTATATTCAGGACACAGCATCTTCACTGATTTATGAAACAGAGGTTGTCTACATTATATAATAATGCATTTCCAGGATTATAAAAAAAATACTAATTGAAGACGAATTTTGAGAACATAATATTTTTTAAAGTTTGGTTACTTAGCTTATATGTCATCTGTTTTTAGAAAATGCATTCATCATTTCATTTATGCTCTCTCTTAGGAACGCGACACACCTTCATGCACCGTAATGACAAAACTTGATAAAAATTTTTAAATTTTTCTTAAAGTATTATTATTATTATTATTTTTTTTTTGTATTCAGTAATTAAAATTTTAAAAGCATTAGAGATTATGTTAATCTTGGATTTTAACACAATTCTCATCATTTTAAAAATAAAATACATTTTAATCTGCTAATTAAAATGATGATTTAAATTTTTTTAATCATCTGATTAAAATGACTAACACCTTGTACTTAACATGGAGGTCTTAAAGCTTGTTCAATTCTATAAAATTAATCTGGATAACCAATTTTTGTTTTAAAGTTTGGTTATTCAATATCATTTCATAAAAATTCATCATAATTACTACCAATGCCGATTCATTTCTTCAAGAGACAGAAGTCTTGTTAGCAACACTCAACCAAAATGATGACTCATTTGTTAATACTCCAAGTCCATGTTCAACCACCACTTAATTTCTTAATCTAGAACCAGAAGACTTTTTTTTTTCTTTCCTTTGTGAAATTTAGGCTTATTAATATAGAAAAAAGCTACAATAACCAAATACCATCATCAGAGATACTGAGAAACAGCTACATATCTGAACACTGATGATTTCTATAAACATTACAAACAGTGACTAGATCATGCATATACCATTTTACAAATAGTTGTGATATCGAAGACAACTCAGGCACTCTCTTTAAGTAAAAAATAAAATGATGAAAAATTAAACAATAATAAATATTGAAGTTAAAAATGTTTAAAAGGAGTACAATTTTGAGACAGTTAAACCTATTGACACAATTCTAATGATTATTTGAACAAATAAACTTTCAAAAGAAAATAATTGGGCAATCTAATTACTTCTATGTAAACAAATAAATTTCTGGAGCTCTCCATGCAAAAATGCAATACATAAAACAGAAGCCTTGATATGAAGAAAATTAAAATGTTGCCAAATTTGAACAGGGTCCATAGCCACATTTTAGTTAAAAAAATAAGCACCTATAAGCACTTTTCAAGCACATTTTTAAGAAAAAAATAAGCACTTGTCTAATTACATTATACACAACTGCATAACCTTAAAAGAAAAATTAGACTTGTAATTTAAAAATTCAGTATTTATTAAGATTCAGTATTAATTGGAGTATTTATTAAGAGAGAATGAGCATTACCTCAACCATGGAAAATAATTACATTGTTTTTTTAATTTTAAATAACAGTCCAATTTACAGAACTAGTTTACAATGAGAGGAAAAAAACTATGCAGAACTAAACTATATTACAAGATTTAATGATGAAATTTCAGTTCAAAATGGTGTGTATGTGTGTATTTTAAATATGGCAAAGCACAGTAGGGCTATCTGCCTAAGGGGAAGGGATGCCTTCGTGGAGGACTTTCTAAGGGAAACTGGCTCGTATACACGTTACACATGGGGAAAACCACGAAAACACCCATGCAGCCAGCCCGTTCACGGGATTCGAACCTCGGACCGAACTACCAGTGTTCAGCGACTTTACCGCTCGGCCGCTGGTGGGCTCAGTTCAAAATAGAGAAAATAAATAATAATAAGGAATATTTATTGTATTTGCTTGGAACCAAATAATAAATACAATTCATTTTTCCACTCATATTGATATTTAAATAATTTAAATCTAAATTCTGAACATTTTCTAAATTTTCATTGTATAACAGTTTTCCCTTAACAGATATTGCAAGCAAAGTAATTTAAGTAAAAAAGAGGAACATTTCTGAAATCAGAAGACAGAAATTTGCTTCATGTAGTCATCCTTTAACAGTAAAAGCTTAACTAACCCGCATACTTGGAAATTGGCGAATATTCGGACAGTCGAGCGTAACTTGAAAAAGAGGAGCGGAAGGGGGGTAGACTGTAGCCGCTCTTTAGATTTCTCCGCTAAATAAATGCTTTTGACATTTTGATATATGCATCACATAAAAATAAACCAACAGAACTGAAAAATATTCTGCTTAGCAAGCACAGTAAAACTCTTTTAAGTGTTCATAAACAAATCTCGGACAAAACATCAAAATTAATTATCACTGCAAGATATCGCAAACGTTATTGCGCAATACGTGCGCCACAATTCTTCCTTATGTGATATTACGCAATCGGAATCAACAGCTGCCGATATTGGGAGAATAAAGAACTAAACAGTTGGGGTGTTTTTCATTCTATTTTTCAACAGACGGCGTTAAATTTCCGGAATAGAATCATTCTTCGCTTGGGTTGGTAGACTGCAGAACTTTTAGTCCTATTCAATCCAGACTGGAAAGTGACAACAACAACAACAACAACAACAACAACAACAACAAAAAAAAAAAAAAAAAAAAAAAAAAAAAAAAAAAAAAAAAAAAAAAAAGAGGTCTGTGGCTTGTTTTGCAGCGAACTGTAACAGTTTCAATATTCGAGATTTTGTGGAGAAAGGGGAGAACTTCCCAATCTTTATACTGTATAATGTATTGGCCAAAAAAATGAAATTACTTTGACTATTCGATGACTTTCCCTTTATTTAAGCCATTCCGAATATTCCTTAGAAAGCTAATCTGTGTTAAAACACAACCATTTTTGGAAGTTTACTATACTTCAGCAGTTACTGCAATTATGTTATTATAAACATTCATACATATGCTCATAATATAAGCATAATGATCATAATAAACACAAATATGAACAGACCAAGCGGAGCGAGAATGCAAATTATTAAGATCTTGATAGAAATTCAAACGTGTGTAGTATTTGGGTGGAAAGAAAAGAATGCCGAATGTACCGGAATTTTCGGTACATTCGGAATTTTCAGTACAATTCGTGTATGTGGGATTCTTAAAAACGCGGCAAGCAGATTGCAATTCTGCACTTTCTCCCAATTTCGCACCTAATCTTTGTCATGATTAAGCACTTTTGTTCTATAAAAGTTCTAGCATAAGCGTAATTCGGCTAGCAGATTGTTGAAAAGAAATGCTGATTTAAAAAAAAAAAAAAAAAAAAAGCCTCTACTTCGTGAAAACAAAATGGCGTAAAACAAAAACAAACAAAAAAAAAAAAAAAAAAAAAAAAAAAAAAAAAAAAAAAAAAAAAAAACTAGCAGGTTGCTGTAGCAGGGTTGGTCGCCAAAAAGTCGCCAAGTTACCAGAATCCAAAGATTAACCACTAAATTATATAAATGATTTCAGATACATTCCAATAGTTACATATTCAAAGTGCTAATTATTAATTATTTATCTGCAAACAGCAATGCATTTCTAGTCAAACAAATGTCACTGCATCTAGATGACATTGTTGTAAAATACTAAAATACTAATCATAGGCTTGTTAATTAAGTACAAATATAAAAATATTTTGAATATCATTAAACAATTTTTATTACCTTAATATCAGAATCAGACACTCCATAGTCAAGATTTGATATAAGAAGTTTTGCTGGGCCTGGTGCACTACTGGCACCACCACGTCTGATTCTATTAGTTGTAAGAAATGCAGGTTTGGCTCTAGGTTTAAAGGTACCCTAAAAAATAATTAATATCAGCTGATTTGATATATATTGTTTTAAAAAAGTTGAATTCAAAGGAATCATTAAAGCATTATTTACAAATTATTTGTTCACAACTTTCAACTCAGTAACAAAATTATTTACAAGTCCAAATATTTCGGATCGGATGTTACATTATGGCAGGGATGCCCATGGCTCCCATTATACGTCTAATTCCTTCTCAACCTTGTTTTGTCACAGGAGTGAAAAGGAAAAGCTCAATTCCAATTACTTCACATACTCAAAAGTGCAGCTAATATGCTATTTTACACTAAACGGTATGCAGCAACATTGCTGTCAACATTTCTAGCATCACATTTGACATCAAAGTGAGTTGTTTCAGAACGAACTGAATGCTGCATTTTCATTTACTAATTTTTATGATGCAAAATCTAGTTGTTTTACAGTACCAATGTCAGTTGCTTACCAGAGCCTGCATGAAACACACCAGTGAACATAGTATCATTTTTTAAAGCTGTACGCAAGATAGCCGATTTGATAGTTTCATACAGTTATAAAAAAATATTTACATCTTCGATGTATGTTAGTCTCTAGTTTTAATAGATATAAATGATTTTGTAGTTACCCTATTCACAGAATTTGAGCCAAGAAAAAAAAGGACCTAAAGTCATAATTTTAATGAGGAATGAGAAGGGAAATATTTTCCCATTAATTTTAAAAAACAAATATATTTGTGATACAATTGTTTTTGTTAAAAAAGGCAATAAAGAAAGACATTTTACAACAGTTCATAAAAACTACGATAATGAATATCCCTATAAGAACAATCTAAGAAAAAGCTACGTGAAAGAATCAAAAAGTACATTCGTTATCAAACAAGCAATGTTTAACAAATCCACAAATAATATGAAGCTTGCTGTAATTGCATCCTTTAAAGCTGCATATATACTTGCATTCAGGGGGTGAAAATGATAATGTATTTAGTGAAGCCATGCTTGCTGCATACATGATTTTATTTCAAAAGCTAAAAGAATGAAATTATGTTAGCTATCCAAGATATCCAACTATGCAGAAATTCCACCACTCGTACAAGCAATATCTTAAAATACGATTTAAAAAAATGCATTCTCTTACGTTTACAGTGTGGTAAATCAAGATATCTGTAATGTAGCTCAAGTAAATATTTTTATAAGAATATTCTTTAACAGTTGCTTAGTTAAGGAAGATATACTGTCAGTTTCGACATTACAAGACAATATATGAGAAAAGGACATATAATAAGGTAAACCCTTGTAAAATTTATTCAAAAATCATAAATTTTTTTATTAATGTTTTATAATGCTTATGAAATTTAAAATAAATTCATATAATAAACACTATATCTTTGGTTAAATTTAACAGTTTTTTTTTGGATATGTACATTTGGTACTTGTAGAAAATCCTGTCGACCACAAGAGAGGTGCCAAAACAAAAAATCCCATTTACTAAATACAAGAAAAAATATTTATTATTTTTTTCACATTTATTATGTTACCATTTATTTATATTTAATTTTTTCATTAAAAATTTCCATTAACCCCTTCCGGTAAAATGAGTCTAGCTCGTCATTGGTTTTTCATGCCATATCGCACAATGACGAGCTACACTCGTCATGCACGAGTGCATACTGTTGAATATGATAATTAATTTAGTTTAAAATTTGTAGTGTACTGAATTTGGCAACACCTTTTTTACTTGTGGAAATATCACAGATCCTATGACATACTGTTTACCGTTAGAATTTCTTGGTACAAATCACGGCCAAATTGTTGTTAGTCTGTAGGATATCATTCTTGTAAAAATTTAATGTGAGCATCGGTCAAGATACAGTCAAAAGTCGTTAATCCGGACTCGTCGGGACTTCAGCGATTCTGGATTGTCGATTTTTCCGAATTATAGATCATCAGTTTAAATCTGGTAAGATAGCATGCAGAAATTATAAAATTAAAAATATGAAAATGTAATTTATGAAATAAAGAACAATTATGATCTAAAGGGTATCAAAATTAAAAAAAAAAAAAAGAGCTTAATATTTATTTGTTTACTTTATTAAACATTTCTTTCAATGTAAGTTGTTTAAGTTGCTTTGTTTTTTATGTGATAATACATTCTCTTTAATTCTATAAACAGACATCATTTCTTGTTCAGTTACAAAGTTCCACTGTTCAAGTCCTATAATTGCTGTGTTGAGAATACAGACTAATTTGTCAATCGAAATTTTTTCGTTTTCAATAACCTCTGAGTCACTTTCTTCGCTATTAGAAGCGAATTATAATGATGAGGAATTTGATTTAAATCATATCAAAGACGGAATACATCGAGATGAAATACTACACTTAGTAAGGAATTATAAGCCAAATAAAATAAAAACATCTGCCCTGAAGATAAGGATAGTGCTGACAGATGAACTTCCAATTCATTCCGTGGCGTTAAAGATAAAGTTTAGATAAACAAACTTTAAAGTTTGGATAAACAAAGGATATGCCTTTATCCAATTTTTGCAGCAATTCCACTTTTTGTTTGATGGACATCGAAACATACTTTCGTTTTGTAGATCCTTTGGGAGCTCCAGCATCGGAACTTCTATCTGACATAATCGAAAGTTCAAGTTTACTTTTATAAAATAGCACTTACAGTCTGCAAAAAATAATAAGCCGGATCTAATTCGAAGATTAAGGAACAACGCAATCATCAACATTAACTGAAATAGATAATTAGATAATTTTAGCTTATACCGTCCGTTATACATAAAATGCGCACGCAAAAACGTATTCTGCGCTTGCGCACATGCCTATGCGCAGTCGTAAAGGTCTTATGCACACGCATAAACGCCTCATTCCGGATTATAGGTGTCCGAACGAACGACTTTTGACTGTATATTTCTGTAAAGGAAAAACGGTACTTTTCCGTTTGGCCAGCGCAAATTTCCATTTTGGCGGTACAAGCGATAAAGTCGCCGAGTGTTGAGTTTCATGAAGTGTGTAAGATTTATTTATGGTTGGTGTGAAGAATTAACTTCAGTTAAATGGTGTGAAAAGTTCTTTTAATATTGTTCCAAAATTCAATATTTAAATATTTTTTATTTATGCATTCAAAATAAAAAACCGGGGGGGGGGGGGGGGGGGGTTCGTACTGGAAGGGATTAAGGAGATAAAGTATACTCTAAGAGCAATTATTTTCGCGAAAAAATACAAGTCTCGTGATACTTTTTTTCGCTATTCAACAGCATGCTTTTCTGTAGTAGGCAGGTCCCAAATTTTAATCTTCTCCTCCCCAGAAAATGCGTAATAGAGGGAAAAAAAAATGAGTCTTTACTCAAGAATAATAACTAACATGTGCAATCAATGTTACACCAACCCAGCGTGTTTAAAGACCTTTCCATTTTTGGCGAAAAATCGCGTACTTTGCAGTCTTTTCTTTAATAAGCAAAAATGGTTGATACGATTTTCCGTAAGTACTATAAATTTTTTTATTAACTTACCTTGTTTTACTTTATATTTGGCTATCCCCTTACACCCAAGCCATGCAGAAAAAATTCAATATAGGCCTTTAAGATTATATGTAAATTTTGGAGAGAAAAAATCACGTACATTTAAATAATACACACCATTATCTACAAATTATGATGCTTTTATTCAACATCAATAAAAGCCGTAATATTTTTTCAAAAATTTAATAATTTTTCTGCATATGATAAAGTTTGAAACATGGTATGAACAGTTCTACATTGCAATTTATAATAATACCACATTTCTCTCCCACTTTGTTTTCCATTTGCATTCTTCTTTGATGAATATACTTTACATTCTCTGGAAGGGTTTTTCTTTTTTTTTTTTCTCCCTCTAGGTGGTATAGGTTTAAAAAAATGCCATTTAAATAAACGATTTGATGGCGCTTCACTCGTCTTGATAAATTGATAAGAGTATGATATTTGTCAATTATTTCATGGATTAAATCTAGTCCAAATTTTAAATGTGACTTTTCCACCTACTTTTTTATAAAATTCAAAAGCGGTGAAAACGCCTTGGACTAAAACGTAAAAGAAGTTTTTTTTTTTATAATATTTTTTTCCTACCATTTCTTGCTACTTGACAACTAGAAAGGTATTCATCTACAAGATCCACACCTCCCATTGTTTTATTGTAGTCAATTACCTTTGGTTTTGTTTTCAGTTTTTTACTTTGGGTCATTACTTCAGTTTTAGAATCATGAAAAGATAACATTGTTACTTCTGTCCTTCCATTTGAGAGTGAGGATTTTGCCCCGTCTAAATGATATAACTTTGTCAGTTTTTAACTTTTATTTTTTAATGCTAAAGGTAAATTATTTTTGTTTTTTTTAACCACATCTGTTTGGTAAGTCAAAAGGATATCACATAATTCTGGTGAAGTATAATAATTATCTAAGGTGATGCAATAGCCTTGTTTTAATAATGGCATCATCAAAGTCACAACAACTTGTGAAGGTACTGAGAGAGATCAGAATTTAGATGAACAAACTACCTATAATAAATGACCATATATAACCAGAACTAGATTCACTTAGCACGTACGTTTTGATACCAAATTCTGCTTTTTTTTCAATGGTATGTATTGGTGCCAGGATAAACATCCATTGTACAACATCAGCATTTCATCTCTGGTAATATCTTTTTCTTGAGTAATTGTTTTTTGATATACTTTATTCAGATGCTTACAGAAAGGCAAAATTTTGTGGAGTTTCGGGTTGGATGATTTTCTGGATCTTAAGAATCACTGTTCACAAAATGTAAGTATTTTTTTATTTCACCGTATGGATTATATGACATAATCTTACAGAAAAAAAGGAGTTTCTAACTGATGTTTTCTCAGTCCGATACATGGTTTCTTCAGTTTTTTTAATAGGTTGCAAATCTAAAAGCGCAAGGAACACAAATGCATTTCATGTACCGGTATGGGTTTCCATTCTCCTCTAACTTTCAGTTTTCTTTTCCCAAC